TTCGAAACAGTTTCAATTCAACCAGNTGCTAATCCATTTACCAACCGTAGTTATGGAATGTAAACAATAACAAAGAATTCCCCATTACCTCGAGGATTCTGCTATTCGAAACAGTTTCAATTCAACCAGAATCGAGTTAGTATCCCCTGTAATTTCATTGAACACATCACGATGTATTCAGCGAGTGAAATTGTCGATATTTTACTCGTATTAAGAGAGTGCCGCGGAGTCTACCGAGCCGCTGCCCAGACATATCGAGAACGGTACCCTAATCGCCGACGTCACTCCACAGATGCAGTAATTCGGAACATTGAAAGGAATTGTAGGAGAGGACGAACTTTTCGACGACAACAACCCCAACAACAAGTCACCACTCCGGTTGACTTACAGAGATGTATCAGGGAGGCTATTGCAAGCATTACGCCCCAAGTTCTTCGAAGGGTTGTTGGAAATTCCCGCCGCCGAATTGAGTTGTGCTTGCAAGTTAACGGTGGGAACATTGAACAACTCATGAACTCATGAGCGCATGAACTTCTACACATGTTTGCGCTATTTTTCCTCCTTTTTTTTAGCGGAAGGGATGCGAGCAGACTTTACCTCCACGTGGTGCACCCTGGGTCACGCTAAAAAAGTCTGAATCTTTAGTTTGATAACAGAACTCATTTTCGTCGCATTCTCTGAGTAAAATTGAAGGAGTTCACCTGAATGACGAGGTATTTGAAAACAACTCATCAAGGAGAACAAGTTTCATTGGGTAAAAAAATGCGATTGCCATTTTAAAAAAAGCTCATTAAGCTTGCAAGTATGATCCTGAAAGCTAAAAAAAATGTATGCATCAAATGTCCTCCTCGGAACCCTACAACTTATGTCCCTGAAAATTTCCTGTCATTTGCCCCCCTTAGAAGATATTTGGGTGCATTGTTTCAAATGGGACACCCTGTATATTCCGCGGAGAGTAGGTTTCATTGACGTTCACGATGTGTTTTCTATGAAGAATCAATTTTCTATGAAGAATTCGAAGAACTACCCATCCATGTGTGGAGTGACTCGCAATTAATACTCGCTTGGCTCTAAAAACATGCGTCACACTGGCCGACATTTGTTACTAATCGAGTATCAGATATTCAGACGAGACTCCTACCAGCAAACTGGCATCAAGTACCAACCATATCGATCCCAGCCGACTGTGCCTCTCGTAGTGTGCTGCCTGCAGATCTCGTTACACATGATCTTTAGTGGACTGGACCACAATGGCTAAAACTTGATGCAAGTCACTGGCCACAACAAAAAGCCATCAACAATCGAACTCTTCAAAGAAAGGCTAAGGAGAAAGACAACCTCACAGAATGCGCTACAACGCGGCAAACTCAAGCGCTTGGTGATTATGAGCTAGGAGACATCCTAGTTATCACCGTATCTCCTCATGGCAGAAGATCCTGCGAATCACAGCCTACTGCTTGGAGCTCTTGAACGCATTAAGAAGACGTCAACCACGACTCTCATTCAATGCGTTGATGGAAAAATTGGCATGATTTCTGAATCAGACAAACGCAGCGAGGCCGTTCCAGAGCCAAATTGGCCTCCTGGAAGCAAATCAGCAACTTCCAACTAAGGATAAACAGATGCCACTCCACCCTGGGATGAATAACAATGGCATGAGAATAAACGGACGTATTTCAAAAGCATCAGTCTTGTATAAGGAGAAACATTTTATAATTTTGCCGGCAGTGAGAATCGCGGACCTCCTCATCGATGACATTCCCTGAAAGACACTACACGGAGGTCCACAGCTGACATTGAGCACTAAGTCAAAAGTATTAGGTCCTGAATGCAAGAGGCCTTGTAAAGGGCCACATCCAGAAATACGTGAAGTGCATTAGATACGACGGGAAACCCCCTCACAAAATCATGTCGGCTCTTCCGCCAGAACGCGTAACACCGTCTCCACCTTTTACCAACACTGAGCTAGACTATGCTCGACCTGTTAACGTTCGCATGACCCCAAGACGCGAACATAAATCACACAAGCGCTACATCTTCGTGTGTATGGTTACTCGTCCAATCCATTTGGAATTAGTGTCGGACTATAGGGAACTTGCATGTTTTTTTCCCCTCAAATATATTCCTCCAAGAACTTATATTTGATAAGGAAACACACGGAAAATTGTTTCATAATTCTGTATTTGCTTTTAAAAATTGCATTTTTCAAAGGTTCTCAAAAGCCTGTAACATCAACACACCGGAGGCCAAAATTGTTGTGACGCCGTCAAGCGGTTCAGTACAGCTGCTGAAATCTAGGAAAATACTCTCTAGATGTATTTGGCTCCAAAATGTGAGAAAAATCAGATCGAGTGATGTAAGTTCCTTATAAATATAGTTTTGTACCAGGATGTAAAAAATACAACAGGGAAAATTATACAACCACGTTTTTCGACACTTTGACAATGATTTAAACCCATAAAATCTATCAACATAGTTACGGCTACCGCAGGTAAATTCCCCGAGCACGCCTTTTGAAAATCATTTTTCAGCACAAACTTCATTTGTTAGTGCCAATACATTTTTTATCCACTTTTAATAATTGTTTCAAATATAACCCCCTCGATTTGTTTCGGTTGAACGTCTCGCACTTTAAGAGGCTAGAATAACTCAATAGTGCTGCTAGTAGTCGCAAGGGGAACTTCATTATGGTGAGTTGCCGTCATGATCCCAAAAAAGCGTTCAAAATTTATGCATTTTTAATCAGTTATTACAAAATATCCAGACCACCGTTCGGAAATCTTTTTACTCTGGAATGGTTCATAGACTACAAAGACTCTATTCATTCAAAAAAATTCGAAAAGTGGACTCTATGCAAGTTCCCTATTCAACACCGACATTCTTGCCTGCATTCGGCAGATTTGTGTTACGTCGTGGATTACCATCGGGTTTATACAGCGACAGTGGCATCACCTTTCAAGGAGCCAAACGTGAACTCAAGGAAGTCATAGACGAATTGTACCAGAACCCCGATGTGCAAACTGACATCGCAATGGGAAGGATGAAGTGGCTCATCCCTCCCAGCTCTCCACATTTTGGCGGACTCTGGGAAGCAGGAGCAAAGTCAGTAAAAAACCTGATGAAGAGACTGCTGGGCCACTGCACAGCCACCGTCAAGGATACAGCGACCATGGCATCACCTTCCAAAGAGCCAAACGCGAACTCAGGGAAGTCATAGACGAATTGTACCAGAACCCCGACGTGCAAGCTAACATCGCAATGAGAAGGATGGGGTGGCTCATCCCTCCCAGCTCTCCACATTTTGGCAGACTCTGGGAAGCAGGAGCAAAGTCAGTGAAAAACCTGACGAAGAGACTGCTGGACCACTGCACGGCCACCGTCAAGGAATAGACTATTCTGCTCAGTAAAATCGAGTGCAACGTGAATTCAAAACCACTTGAACTCCTCCGCGATGATACTAAACACATTGTTGCCTCGACTCCCGGATACTTCCTCTGCGGTAGACCATTGAACGCAGTCCCAGCATCTTCTACATTATAACTAAACCCGAACAGATTGTCGCGTCGGTAGTTCAACCACCAGCTCAACGAGAACTTCTAAAGTCGCTGGAGGAGTGAATATTTCCACACGTTGCAGACCCTACAGAAGTGGCGCACAGAACAGGAGAACTTACGAATTAATGACGTAGTTCTCATCATGGAACTTGCAACTCCACCAAGCAAATGGCCTCTAGCCCGCGTCATTGAAACTTATCCAGGAGAGGACGGCAAAGTCAGAGCTGTAAAAGTGAAGACGAGCACTTCAACATACACTCGACCAATCGTGAAGTGCATTCCCCTCCCCGTGAAAGACGTCATGGCGGGCGGCGAACCGCCCCTGGGGATCTACCCCTTAAATTTTGATTTATTTAATCCTTCTGAGACTGTTTCGTATTACAAACTCCTTCCTTTTAAGTACTGGAGAATGAGACGGGCGGTATATTAGCGATTGCGAATAATAACTGCGCTAACACTTGAAGGCAATCACGTGAGCCCCGAAATTCACGATCATCGCCCGATCAGCTGGTCAGCGTGCCGAATTAGGCAGTTACCCTTTGGACTCTGAGACAATTAATCTCAGTCATCTCTGAGACAATAATCAGGGATCTTGTGAGCTGCTTTAGGAAATTATTTGAATTTATTCGTCGAACATTAATTTATTTATTATATTTAAGATTTTTGATTCATTCAATTCATCATTCACGCACTCTGATTTGAATTTCGTCGACACCTGAGACGGTGGTCCAGCGTGATTATGTCGTCACTATGGGTTCATGCCCTAAAGTATCGATTTTTGCTAACGTCTGCGCCTGGGAATGGGTAACCAGTCGCCCGCATGACACTGTTCGCCCGGCAGCGATATTGTGTGATTATACTTTGTATTGTTTTTCTATTTATTTTATACTGTGTAGAAAAGAGTCGATTCCTGAGAACATTTTAAGGTTCCTGTTGAATAAACCCAGCGAATTGTCAACATAACACAGTGGGTAATCACTTATTAATATTCTTGCCTAATTTCTTCTCTCCTTCTGTCGAATTTCTCCAGTCTCGGATCTTCCAACGTTCCAACTCCCTGAGATAAGTCGGAAAAACATTGTTAGTTAACGAAAAAATCTGTGAACTAAGAGATTTTCTTGAGCCCTGACAGCCCTTGACCCAGGCCGCGTCAAATGTGGGCCTTCAGCCAATTCAATCGAATGTTTATTGCAACTAAAAGGCCTGTCTCAATTTAAACTATACGTAATTGAGCTTTCGTTGTTTAGAACTTATTGGTGATACCGTAAGATGGTTAGTGGTTTGCGATCTGACATAGATGTTCTCAAGCCACCGATACCCGCATGTACGGACATAATCGCGAAACATTGTATTTTTACGTTTCAACCCATTTTACTCCATTAACATGCAAAATTAGAAAATAGAATGATTGCAAGGCAATGCAAAATATGCAAAAATTGTTTTCACCTTTAATAAACATGGGCACTATATCAGGACTGCCCCAGGCCCAACTCGCAGTACTCCGATTGAATGTTGAGTCGAAATCTATGGGATTCTCTTTCCATCCTTTAAAAAGAGCACTAGGGTCTTCATAGACTCCAGCCGCAATTGCAACGTTACCGGGTCTTGATTCTGTAGGGACTCGAGTATGAGAGATTCCCCAAACTCCTTCCTTCCGCATAATGTTACTGAAACATTAACATGATTTTGGATGGTGATTAAATATCCCCAAAATCTTAAATGAATGTTTTTGCGTGCATTAACAATGAAAAGCGCTACTAAACGATACATTCTACTATGGAGGAGAATATAATACGAGGAATTTTTTTTTTATCTAACATGTTTTTTGTTTTAAACCGCAGTCATTGAAAAAATGAGAAGGGTCATCGATGATTTTCTTACTCGAAATTTTCTTGTCAACCTTTCGAGATCGCAACATAGATGTGGGAGGGACCAAGTGGTTTCTAAACTGACCACTCTTGCAGGGCAAACAATGAGATCACCGAGTTCTTAATCTTGTTAGTTGACTCTCACTATTGATTCGCTCGCAGAGATGATTTATCATGATAGTTCGCGAGATTCGAATCACTAATCAGAGGCATTTAAATAATCTGTAAAATCTGTAAAATAACATCAGCAAGAAGGATAAAGAGAGGCTGAAACGAATCAATGAACAAACGAAGGAAAATACCTTTACGAGTATAAGAAAAAGTCTTATCAGAAATTACTTGAATTTCAGTCTTCAACTCACTTCACTTGGTTACATCGCGGTTTTTGAGCTCGTAACATACAATAGTTTACATCATATGGCCCACAAAATATTTTCTGACCAATGTGATTCTTACATTCGTGAAAAAATACTTTGTGAGTGAATATTCCGAAATTCTAACTCAGAAAAAAAACCTCAGCGGTCACGGTCCAACTCGTAAAAGGTCTGCTGTGTTTTTCAGTGTCCTTTGTTCATTGTGTCACTAGATCGAGAGCCTGGAGCCCTCCAACGAGTACATACGAAGTCACACTTCTTTCTGTTCTGCCACTGAACTATACGTACACAGTAAACTCTATAATATGACATAACCGTAGAAACAAATAATTCTAAGGAATATTACCCCACCAATCCTCCCACAGCCATGCCTCTGTGAAAATATTCCCTCTTGGAGAATCCTGGTATACCCTGTTGGAGAATATTCTAAGTGGGATTATTCTATCTGGGATCTTTCGCTGTATTGGAAGAGGCAATGCCATACTGTGCCTATGAGTGAAAAACCTAGTACAGATGAACCTAGTTTCAGATCTCTCGTGGAGCGAAATGTTTGAATTAGATCAGTCCCCTGACATTTACCATATCCACCATTTGACCAAGCTCGTCTGCTACCATTATCCTTGATACAGCGTTTAAACTTAACGTGGACACGTCTAGGTTGTTGTTCACTTGCGGGTGCGCCGACGGCCCGTTTTGTTAATGGGTCTGTCGCGATTTAGATGTGATGTTTTGAAGTCCAACGGCTGCATAGAGTGTACAGCCAGTTAAGATTTNGCGGCCATGATTAATGAAATCTTTGGCTTCCGGATGGATGCCGCGTTTGGATTCAGCGTTGCGCCGACGTTTCGCAAACATTGCAGTCTGCATCTTCAGGGCTATGAGCTCCGATTCTGAGCTCCGATGTTTAGGGGTAGTCCTTATATGCCTTCCCTTGTGGTGATGGGGGAAGGGTAAGCGGGGGGTCAGCCAATCATGTTTTTAATTGATCAGCTGGTCAATTAAAAACCGGGAGGACGGTTTTCCAAATGGGAGGACGGTTCACTTGATATCCTCTGTCCCTGTTGAGGTTGTTAGGGTTTTTATGGATCTCCAAACCCTCTCGGTATTTCCTTTCGAAATACCCTTGAGATTTGGCCAACATTCTGGCTTGGTCGTACTGGATAGTATGTCCAGTGTCCATTCAGGGTTCAGCCAGGGCAGACTGTTCTAAGTGACCGTATTTGGAGCACCGCTGGTGTTCCTTGATTCGTGTACTGATCTTCCTCCCGGTTTCTCCAATGTACACTTTCCCGCATGAGCAGGGGATCTTGTACACTCCTGGTGTGCTCAGAGGTGGTCTTGGATCCTTTGCACTTGGCAGCATCTGTCCGATCTTCTTTGGAGGCTGGAAGATCGTTCGAATGTTATGTTTGCCAAGTACTCTACTTATGCGTTCTGTTGTGCCTCTCAGATAGGGGAGGAGGGCCACTTTTGGTCTTTCCTGGTTTTCCTCAGGATTAGTCTCCACTTCGGGAGATGAGAGCTTCCTCTGTAGCTTCTGCTTGATCTTCCGAATTTGTTGGATGTTATATCCATTCTTGGTCAGAGCTAACTCAAGATGTTCAACTTCACTGTCAACGTTGGAGGGTTGAGAGATTGTCAGTGCTCTATACATTAGAGAGCTAATAACGGAATTCTTCTGGGAGGGGTGGTGATGGGAGGTAGCATTGGGATACCTATCTGTATGGGTGGGCTTGCGGCGGCATCCATCCGGAAGCCAAAGATTTCATTAATCATGGCCGCGAAAGCGTCAAAACTAAGATTAAACGCCTTCACGGAGAGGCTATTCTTGGATCGGTGAATTTATTCACCAAACTTAGGAAGTCCTTACACGTCCAACTGTGCTCCCTAACTTTTTTAAAAAAGTGCCGTGACCATCAAGTGGTACCGAAATTCCTCCATCTGAGGAATCTTGTCCCATCGAAGCAGGCAAATGCCATCCTTCGCCAAGCTTCGTTGAGATTGGTCAAGGAGAGAATAGCGGCGGCTAAGAAGAACCTGGCCCGTCTCTCCAGACAGCTTCTCGATCTCCACCTTCTTCGGGCTCAGACGTTGGAGTCTCAGCTGTGGGAGACTCTCGATCATGTTACATACGAACAAGCAGTCCGAACAGCTGAGATGAGAACGGAGAGTCAGAAGGGTAAGTTCAAGATGCTGATCCCCCAGGAGAAAGTCCCAACCCTCATTCACACTGTGAAGAATCTGAGTAAATTTTAACTCAGTGAAACACAAGTATCTGGGTTGGCGAAAGGACACAACTTCGCTGTTGCCCCTAAAAAGATCCCCACCGAGGAAATCATCAGTCGTACCGAGACAGCGATTTACCATCTTCCTCAGGAGACCAGCAATGAGATCCAGAGGCAGTTGTTTAACATCCTCCACAAGGCCACTCCCCCTGGTGACAATATCACCAGGGAGGAACGCCTCGCACTGCGTAGTCTAAAGGAGAATAATGATCTGATTATTCTTCCGGCAGACAAAGGCAATGCCACGGTGGTTATGGATGAAGACGACTACTCCGGTAAGCTCAGTACGATGTTGGGTGACTCCAGAGTTTACGTTAAACTTAGGAAGGACCCTACTCGTACAATTGAGCGAAAAACTGCTGATCTTCTGAGGAAGGCTGGTTTCTCGGCTGACCTGACGAAATTCCTCACCCCTAAAGAATCCTTTCCTCCTAGACTCTATGGACTCCCCGAAATCCATAAAGAGTCTGTTTCTCTCCGTCCCATTGTCAGCAACATTGGAGCGCCAACTTACCATCTGGCCAAGTTTCTCACGNACTTAGGAAGTCCTTACACGTCCAACTGTGCTCCCTAACTTTTTTAAAAAAGTGCCGTGACCATCAAGTGGTACCGAAATTCCTCCATCTGAGGAATCTTGTCCCATCGAAGCAGGCAAATGCCATCCTTCGCCAAGCTTCGTTGAGATTGGTCAAGGAGAGAATAGCGGCGGCTAAGAAGAACCTGGCCCGTCTCTCCAGACAGCTTCTCGATCTCCACCTTCTTCGGGCTCAGACGTTGGAGTCTCAGCTGTGGGAGACTCTCGATCATGTTACATACGAACAAGCAGT